TGCATTTACATATGTCCTAACACTAACATCATATTTAATTTTAAAAAATCAAATGCTTTCCCTATGAAGATCAGAATCCAGGCAAAAAGGTGCTTTCTCATACACCTTCTATTCAACTCTGTGCTGGAGGTCCTGGTTAATATGGTAAAATAAGTAAATAAATTAAAAGCATAACTAAAGGAGAGAAAATCATGTGACTATGTACAGTAACAAATGTAAAGGAATTTACAAATTAATTAATAGAACTAAAAAGCAAACTTGGCATAGGCACAGAATACAAGGTCAATATAATACAGACACACACAGAATCAAGAAACAATTGGGAAGTGAAATATTTGAAATACCAGTTGTAATAACATCATAAAAAGGAATAAGCATGCTAAAAATAAATGTACTGACACATGAACAAGATATTTTACTGAAAGTCACTTATACTGAAATCTATATAATAGTACTGATAGAATGGAACAAACACAGAATTGATCTGGATATGAGTAAGAAGATTCATTATTAAAAACAGATTATTTTCAAGATGATTTATAGAATCAATGAAACCCAATTAAAACTCCAAAAGCTTTTTAAAAACAGAAATTGACAAGCTTATTGTATCAATTACACGAAGAGACAAAGGACCTAGAATATTTAAGGCAATCTTGAAGAAATATTATAAACTTGGAGGACTTACTATAACCAATTTCATAACTCACCCTGAATCTACAGAAATTACGCAGTGTGGTGTTCATGTAAGAATACACAAATAAATGAAAAGAAAATAACCAAAGGTACTGAAATGAACACATACATCATGTGTTCAACTGATTTTTGATGTAAATATCAATGCAATTTTATGGATATGTTGAACATTTTTTAACAGCTGATGCCATGGCAACTTACTCTTTGAAGAAAAGACCTCAAATCTCACTTTATGGAATATAGAAAAATTAATTTTAGATTGATTATAGACCTAAATATAAAGCTAAATCTATAAAGCTTTCAGAAAAAACATGGAAGAATTTCTTTAATAAATGAAATATAGGCAGAGACTAAAGATTTTCTTAAATATTAATTGTACAAGAAAGATTTGTTAAATTAACCTTCACCATAATCACCTTCACCATAATTAAGTGTTCATTTAAAAGTTGCAATTAGCAACAGGGAAGGGTAAGCTTGGGACCAGCAGATGATGTAATGGTTACATCATTGGATTCCCAAATAGTCAACCACAGGTCGAATCCCAGACCCACCAGCTTAAAACTCATACCAGACACATGTGTGTGCATGCCTAAAATCTCCAGAGGAGAATGGAGGAGAAGGGATTGTGGTGTAGCCATCCTCTCTGGGGGGTGATTTATCACCTTCTGTCTCTCTGTCTCTCTTTGTCTCTCTTTGTCTCTCCAACAAGCACATGCACCCTATAGCGAAAATATCTCTTAAAAAAAAAAAAAAGGGTAAGCCCAAACTGGAAAAAATGTTCACAGTATGTATCCGGCAAAAGACTATTATCCAGGACAAATTCAAATTATAATAAGACAATAACTCAACTATAAAGCTGCTCCTGGAAAACACTAGGGAAACTCTGGGAGACATTAGTGGAGGGAAAGACTTCTTAAATAAGACCCTCAAAGCACAGTCGATCATCCCCAAAATAGACAAGTGGGATTACATCAGACTAAGAAGTTTCTGCATGGCAAAAGACACAGTAATTAATGTGAATCGACAGCCCTCAGAATGGGAAAATATTTTTGTAAATTTTGCATCAGATAAGGGACTGATAACCAGAATACACAAGGAACTAAAGAAGCTGTTTGGAAAAAAGAGGATCAATCCCATTAAAAGATGGGAGAAGGAGTTGAATAAAACACTCTCTAAAGATGACATACGGGGAACTCTTTTACACTGCTGGTGGCAATGTAAATTGGTCCAGCCACTGTGGAGAATAATTTGGAGATTCCTCAAAAATCTACAAATAGATCTACCATATGATCCAGCAATCCCACTCCTCGGTATCTACCCAAAGGACAAAAGAATTCTTCATTGGAAAAGTGCTTGCACATCGATGTTTATTGCGGCACTTTTCACAATTGCTAAGTCATGGAACCAACCCAAATGCCCCTGTATGGAGGAATGGATTGAAAAACTGTGGCACATATACTCTATGGAATACTACTCAGCCTTAAAAACCAACAAAACCTGACTTTTGACAGAAAGTGGAAAAATATGGAAGATTTACTGCTGAGTGAGGCAAGCCAGGCTATGAAGGAGAGACATTGTATGTCCCCACTTAACATGTACTGAATGTCTGCATTCTATGACTGAAACTGATTGACTAACGGTTGTACAAACACAAGAGATGGGTGTGAATGTCAGATGAGGTGTATGTGGAGGAGGGGGCCCTAACAAAGGATATTTGGAGAAGGGATACGGAGGTAGAGCATTGATGGGATGGGGAAGTGTGGTGTTATCGGTTGAAGATATTTTGATCAACGGGACTGGGGAGAAATGTTCACATATTGAAATGTTCACATTTTAAGCTAAACAATGCAATTGAATGTACATACAAAAATAAATAAATTTAATAAAAATAAAAAAAGAAGACAACTCAACTTAAAAAGTGGGCAAAACACTTGTGAACAGTTACTTCACACATTATGAAAAGTTAATGAGTATTTCATAAAAGCTTGACATTAGTGGTTACAAATGCAATATAAATTAAGTCCAAGATAGGACACCATTTCACATCCAGAAAATAGTTAATGACAAAAATCTAACAATTGTAAGTGTTGATGAGGATGTAATAAACTAGACCTCTTAGATAAGAAAGGTAGAGTGTAAAATGATACAACCACATAGAAACTATTTTCAAGTTTCTAATATAATTATGATCCAACAATTCTACATCTAGATTTATATTTAAAAACCGAAATAATTCATAAAAAATTCATACATAATTATTGATAGATTATTCACAATTTGCCAAAGCTTGAAACTTCCCAAATTTCTATTAACACAATAAATAAATTCATAAAATGGACAGCTACTCAGAACTAGAAGGAACATACCCTTAAACCATACAAAATAGATTAACTGTGAAAATATTATATTATTGAAAAGTAGCTAGACATAAACCAGTACATACACAATTCAATATATACAAACTTCATAAAAAAGAAAATTAATCTATACTGTTAAAATTAAAGTTATGGTTTAGGAGTCAGAAGATGACATAATGATTACGTCACTGAACTCACATGTGGCCAGCTGCAGTTAGAATCCCAGCCCCAGTGGCTTGAAACTCACGTGGGTACATGTGCGTGCATGCCCAAAATCCAGAGAAGGGAATGGAGGAGAAGGAATTGCAGCATGGCCATCCCCCTGGGGGGGGATTTCTTACTTCGGTCTCTGTGTCTCTCTCCAGTCACTGTATGTACCCTATGGCAAAAACCTCTTAAAATAAAGTTATGATTTGACTCTCTGGGTGGCAGGAAAGAGCAATAAGGAGTGTGAGAAAATCAGCAACATGAAGGAAATGTTATTTATCTTGATTTGAGTGATGACAGCAAGCATTTATAGCATTGAAATTTATACTTAACATCTCTGTGTTTTACTATATGTCAAATAACTACACTAGACAACAAACCTGATATATATAGGGATAGAGAGATAAAATAATATTTCTATTTCTAGACTGAAAAAGTTTTAGTCATATAGTAAATAATATGAAGACATTTTTCTTGATGAATATCTTTATTAAGGAGCTATAACAAAACTAAGCGATAAAAAAAATTAATGGATGGAAGTTTAAACAAGGTATGGTTTTTGAGGAGCTGTTTCTTCTGCATTATGACTTGTTTACAAATACTCTCAGAAGAGGCCTTTAAAATTACGTTTTCTTTTTTTTTTTTTTAGAGGTTTTTGCTATAGGGCGCGTGCGCTCACTAGAAAGACAGAGACAGAAAGTGAGAAGTCATTCCCGGGGGGATAGCCACGCTGCAGTCCCTTCTCCTCCATTCTCCTCTCCGGATCTTGGGCATGCATGCACACGCGCCCGGCATGAGTTTAGGCCACTGGGTCCGGGACACAAACCGCGGTCGACTACATGGGAGTCCAGCGACATAGCCATTGCACTAACTGCTGGTCCCTGTTTTCTATTTTTGTGGAAGCTAAGATTTAGTCTTCTAAGTAACTAAAACAATATATTAAAGTTAAAATTATTAGTTAATTTATAGAAGTAAGTATCTGTTATTAACATTGTGATTATTATTAAAAGAATTATTCTTTGCAAATAATGATGCATATGCTACATAGAAAAATGTATTTTAGTAAGTGGAGGAGTTAAATACTTTCTCAATGCAACATTAAGTCTACTTACTGTATAATCAAGACATAGTAGTAAGATTCTAATGAAAACATTTTTCCCTCAATATCTGAAGTATTAATAAATAGCATAGCAGTAAGACTCTGTTTAATTTTTTTCTTCTCTCAATATCTTGGTAACTCAAGCAAAGAAAATTGTAGATAATTTGTTTTTGAAATCCAAATTTATACACTGTGGGATAAAGATTGCAATCTCTATTTTATGTTAAGTTGGAATATATTCTCCCTTAAACTTCTCAGATAATTTCTCCATTGTCCCAACTGCTTAGAATGAAAATACCCAGTATTCTACAATTTGAATAGTTGAACACACACACACACACAAATATATCCACATTGCTTTGAGGTAGCACCAAAATCATGATGAAAATAAAACTTTGAAACTTGAAATTCCAAAAATCCTTTTGTATGTATTTTGATTACTTGTTTACTTATATAGCCATATATTAACTCTTTTTTTATTAAAATCCAGAAGTTTTAACTGAAATCTAAGGCTCTATTGTTACCCTATCAGTTATTATACATATGATCCTAGAATTATTTTCTTGACCTTAAATATGATCATAGTAGAAATCCATGTAAGTACTGAATAATCCAATTGCTATATATCTAAGAGATATCTTTACCTGATGACTGAAGGAGAATGATCCGAGAAAATTGAGAAGATGGCAGGGCTCCTTGTAGCAAAGTTGAATCACTAAAGTTGGATCAAAAGGAAACAAGAGACAGAACACTTCATGAGATTCCCTATCGAGTGAAATGTAAAGATCTCATTCAATGCTGTCAATGTGCCCTGTCATCTGCACCCATTGTGAGTGTTTTGTTGGGTCACTGGTGGGCCTGCCTGTTTCCTGACTTGATTTCACAGCTTTGGCCACTGCTGTCCACAATCAGACAAATACAAAAGGAAGCATTTAGCTGTTCTTCAGCACTGGAAATTTTCTTCAAACTGAAAAAGGCAGCAGGGAATACCATTTGTCCTTCATTTTATTCAGAGCTTTGGTAACTAAGGCTCAGGGTCCCCTGGTTCCCATTGATCTGTGGAATACAGAAGAGCAAAATTGGCTACAGGCAGCCAGCTGGGACAATCAGTGCCAGCACGTAAGGAGGGCTTCAATTTTCTTTCATTTTTGACTAGGCCTGGAAGCTACCCGCATTGCAGCAGCACGAGGGCAGGAGAAAGGACTGTGCTTGAACGCCATTGTCATCACCAGCATTTACCCTGGTCCCTGTCCCAGAACAGGCATGCAATACAACCCTGCGGATGCCCCAGTAAAATAGTCCATGTTAATTTATACTCATTATTCTTTATAATTATGACTCTAAGAGTTGGGAGCTGAAGAGTTGACAGTGTTGTCAAACCCTGTCTTAAAATGAAATGTATTTGGTATCTTCCCCATTGCCTTCAATTCAAGTGTCCTCAGAAGGACACACAGACCTATACCTCAATTCTTCTCTAACTTACACACTAATATCCAAGGTCCAAACGTGATGAACTATTCAGAGATGAGTCTTGTACTGTCTTTTCACTCTTAAACAGTCTGACCCTGTCCCCCTAGGGAACTCCTACTTTAGCTCAAACCACAGGGTTGGCCATGTGGGTTTCAGAGGACTTAACCTCCACACTATCTGCTGGCCCCATAATTTCTACTTTTTCATATATAAATATATACATGTGTGTGTGTGATTATAATTTCTACTTTTTCATATACAAACATATACATAAGTGTGTGTATGATTATGAAGAAGAAAACGTACACACTCATACACACATGTTTTCTTCATAATCATTCCCTTTTTCAGGATTTCTATTTCCTCATTATTTATTTATAGTTTATATTTTCCTTTGTTTATCTTTTCTTCTCTACGAACTTCACATTTTGGAGTCAGAGTCCCTCTCATCTGGTGGTAACGAATACTTGCGCTGGGAAAGGCAGGCTCACATCTCTTCCTAGCTATAGCCTTATCAGCTGTATGGCCAACACTCACTTTTGCTCTCTGACTTCATTTTGCAACTGAAAGGTATGCATGTAGTAACTTCATATTGCTTTTGTCTACAGAATAGTTTGCCAGGAAAAATGATACATGAAACACATGCATTATGAGAAAACTATGCATATATTTAAAAAATTTTGCACCAAAATAAACTTGAACTTTAACTCTACTGTTCCATGAATCTCTTGAAGTCCCCTTATGTTTGAAAGAAAATTTTTCCACAGGAAAATAATTTTGAAAAGACCCAAAGTATATGCAGAATTAAACAGACTTGGGGATGCCAAGATAGGCTAAAAAGCTGAGGCCTATTCATTGCAATGCTCTTTAAATACTGATTTAAATATTTGGTTTATCTTGTGGCAGTGAAGAGACTTTTTTTTTCTTTTATTATAAAACAATTTCTTTATTTAATTTTATTTGTTATTATTATTATTATTTTTAATTTGACCAATAAGACAGAGTGAGAGAGAGAGAGAAGGGGAATGTGAAAGGAAGCCTCCAGGTCCAAGACTTCAGCCGTGGTTCGCCATGTGGGAGTCCAACACCTTAATCACCATGCCACCTGCTGGTCCCTCTATTTTTTTAAACATGTCATTCCAGTAAGAGATTAGCTGCCAAAACATGACTATTTTTAGCTAATAGTATATCGTTCAATATTCTTGTTTCAAAATGTAAACTTTGACTTCAAGAGTGACACATTTGTGTTATTGCACCCAACAATATCACCATCCAAAGCGCAGCACCCCAGTGTGAACACAGCATCAAATACATTAGTGCTGGCAAAGACAGTATTTGTTTCTGGTTTTATTTTCTTTCTACCACTAGGTACCATCTGTTTCACCAGCCATGTAAGGACTGACGGTGTAGAAAGCTGTGTTCATTGGCATGATGTTTGGAGTTTATTTTGGTGATAGTTTAGCCTACTTTCTATTTGTCTACATAATTTGGAGAATCCAGTGCAAAGTGAAAATGTGGGGCCCTCTGTTCAAAAATTATTAAGAATTTCAAGATGGTAACAGCATGGCATTATACCAAGTGCAGGGCCCCGCTAAGTGTGAATCCCATACAACGGCCCAGGGGCATGTTCATACAGCCATAGCTGGCCCTCTGAAGCTCCTCACAGGTGGCTGGATGACCTGTGTTCCAGGACTATAGGAAGTGAGATCCCCCAAAGGAACTTCAGGATCCCTTTTATATTCTCAGAAAACTTCTTTTACCCTTAGAAACTTTACCCAGGTTTCTGTTCCTCATCCATAGCTTGAATGTGGGATTTTCTTGCTACTCTTCTCTCCTTTGAATAGTCACTACTCATCCTCAGAAAGAAAAAAAAAAAAATTTGAGGACATTCAGCAACCCTTATGGCAAAAAGTGTATAATGTGCTGGCAGACAATCCCTGCTCTCAAAGTCAGCATATTTCAACCAGTAGTTTTGTTTTAAGTAGCTTAAAAACAACTTTGATTCATGTCTCAGCCATTATTTCCCACAATCTAGCCCTCTGGCCAAGGTTACATCAAGCAAAGGGCCCAATGTTAAGTGAATGCCTGCTAAGTGGGATGACTTGGAATCCAGGTTGATGATGAAAGTTGCAACAGCAGGAAGGTAAAGCAGCCAAGCCAGCCAAAAATAAAATTTTAGTGCTGGCAGATTTCTGTTCACCATTCCATTCTCCACCCTGTACTACTGTAATGGAGGTAGTGAAGGAACAGGTGCATGAATTAGAATCAGGCAACTTGCTGCCCTGCTGACCACCACTACTGCTTGGAGCCAAGGTGATGCAAAAGCTAGTTAAACAAGAGGAGCAACTCACACTGGAAAGTATGAAATGCATTCACCTCTTTCATCATCTTTTTCTTTAAGTTTTTAAATAGCTGGATAGCAGAGATTGACTATGACTTTTATAATAGAAGTCAGTTAAATTGATTGAAAAAAAAAAAGGTGTATTTAAAAATTAACATAGGGCAATGGAGGACCAGGCTAAGGTGCATAGCCCAATGCTAGTATCACTCAGGTTTTTAGAAGAGGTCATTTACAGTTCAACAACCTGGCAAAAAAAGTAGGATTTTTCTCTAATCACAACAACTGGACAGAAACCAGCTCTTTCAAGGTACTTTAAATATGCTAACATTTCAGGATAAGGAATGAGAGTCTTCTCTGGTGCTTACCAGTTTCAGGGTGAACAATTAGCACTGGAAATGCAATTTTTGTTGTTCCATTTCCATCTCTATAATTCCTTTCAAAGAGGCTGAAGAAATTCCTTTGAAACTGTGCAATACAAGTTTGTTCTTTTAAGTTTATTTATTTCTTTTGAGAGAGAGAGATCTACCTGCCCTGGCAACAGAGTCTCCATACCACAATCCCACCCTAGTGTCATCCTGCCTGGATCATGGCCACACGTGTGTATATCCAACATCCAGAGAGCTTTCCATGTGGGTCCAGTTGTAGTACCACTATGTTTTGTAGCAAAGTCTATAGAAAATATTTTATATGAAGGGTTGGAGAAAAGAAAGGTGGAAGAATCTCCTTGATATGAACTTTAAGCTCATACAGACTTAAAACAGTTAGAGCAATAGAACAGTAGATCTTTTTCATCCAGAATCTCTGAGTACTGATAAATTTTATAGTGATGTTTGAAGGTTTGCTTTTAGACACATTACATTTCTGGAAAAATTAAGATTTCATGGAATCATGATCTAAATGGACAATCATAATAGCTGACTTGTAAAGATAGAGTGATCATGCCTAATCACAGAAGCATCAAAAAGATCAAGATGATTGTCCTACATCATCCTCCAGATTGCTGTTTAAATTAACAGCCCCCATTAACTACCAAGGAAGGGTATGCACTGTTGAGATACAAGATCTGCACACTTTCCCCAGCTCACTAAACGTGTAGACTAGGTAATTATTTTTTTAGCTTTTTCATTTAACTTTTTGTCTTATAATGTCTGAAATGGAGATTATAGGGCTGGCCCTATAGTGTAGCACTTAAGTACTGTGTGTAAGAAGCTGGATGCCACGTGGATAACCATGGTTTGGAGTCTGGTTCCACTTACTTAAAAAACATGCCAGGCACATGTGCATCTAATGCCCAGGGTCCTGAGAGGATGGAAAAATGGAAGGATGTGGCATGACCATGCCCCATTGGTGAGTCCTCACTCGTGTGCATACGTACATGCCCTCTAGCCATATAAAAAATGGAAACTATAATAAATATTTGACTCCCAGTTATTCTTGAGGAATTAAATAAAATAATAAATGTGAAGTGCTTAGCATGGTATGTAACAGTAGCTTTATGAACGTAACCTAATGGTAGATACCAGTTTATCTCTCTTTGCCATGGATTCTCCTTGACTGCACATTGAAATCTGGGAAGCTATAGAAACCACCAATGCCTGTAGTCCACACTCAAGAATTCTGATTTATTTACTAAGTCTAGGGTGTGGCCTGAGCATGGGGAACTTAAAGAGCTCCCAAGAAGTTTTGTTCTGGAGCCAACGTTAAGAATCACTGCCTTAGGGACCGCAGGTGGCGTAATGTTATGTCTCTGGACTCCTACAAAGTCAACCACAGTTTTTAGTCCTGAACTGCGTGGCTTAAAACTCACACCAATCATGAGTGCATACATGCCCAAGATTTTGTGAGGAGAATGGAGGAGAAGGGGTTGCCATGTGGCCATCCCTCCTGAGGGGGCAGTGATTTCTCACTTTGTCTTTGTCTCTCCGGCAAAAGCATGCACTCTGTAACAAAAATCTATAAAAAAAAAAAAGAAAAAAGAATAAAGAAAAGAAAGAAAAAGAATCGCTGCCTTAGATCGTGAATGTTTCACAAAAAAACATATTTATTTGTATTATACAAGCTCGCTGAGCATTCTGTTGTAGTCCAGGCACAATGACTTAATCGTTTCTCTCTTATGCCCATTTTTTCTCTTTTTTTTGCCCTTCTGGTGTTAAAAGAACAAAAGAAAAGTCAATGACACCTGGAGACTTCAGCGTTGATCCTACAGATCCTGTATTCTGCTTAATGGTAAACGGCAGAGGGATTCTTTGAAAAACATCTTTACTGTGTTTGCTAAAACAATAAAATACAAAACAGAATATGCAACCTTCAAGAAGGCCAAATATATTACATCTCCCTCCTTCTGTTGATCACCTGTGAGTCTTTCTGAACTTGGGCTACTCTTTGTATCTTTAGGTAATCATGAGAATGAACAGTACACATTTCCTAAAGAAAATGACAACCATTCTCTCATTCTTTCTCATGCCTTTCTTTTAAAAAAAGTTTCCTTTTCCTTTAAAAAAATTATTTTTTCTCTTATTTCCAGATCTGACTTTTCTTTCAGGTAAGGAGAAAAGAATTTCCAAGTGAGACCAATTAGAGTTGCCCAGATGAAGCCAAGTCCCCAGGGATCAATCAGAATGCCTACACAGATGAGAAAGTAGGAATGTGTCCTTTCTTTCTCCTTGTTAGAGTTTAGTTTCTGCCCTGAGGAATACGAGTTATTTATTTTCCATCAGAGAAAAGAATGAGCCCTCCACAGAGTTAACTCTTTCCTAGGTGATAGAAATTAAAATACCCATTTTTGTGCTTTATTCTGTGCTATTCCTTATTGACCTACCTCTGTTAATTATACAGGACATCTCATTCATTCAGATCCTGCTAATTAGAAATTAAAATGTGTTCACAAGAATTACACGAAAACTTACAATTGCACTGGAAATAGTGTAAAAGAGCTATGATATCTGCTCTAACCAGAATATCAGATTTATGAATATTTTGCAGACCGTGTACCAGAGAGCATTAATGTTCACCAAGATATTAACAGGGAGTTGTATGGTCAGATTAATTTAGGAATGAGGATTAGTAGACATTCCCATCATAGCTCCATAGTTCTTGCAGCTCTGAGTGCAGCTCCCACACTGGTGTACATCTAGCTACTTGTCACAAATACACAATCAGGTACCAATCCAAACTAGAGAACCAGAAGGTTCATTATAATAAATCCCCAAGTGATTCCTATGTATTCTATAATTTATTAAAGATACTTTGGATGATCCTAATTCATATTAGCATGTTGGCTAAAAAAATTAAGTTGAATTCATAGTTCAAAATCTTTCTTAACTTTGTTTATATAACTATTTAATAATATTATTTGACCACAGAAATATAGTTATTTTATTTTTGAAACAGTAACTAAATATTTCATAGCCCAAAACTTTTCATATATGACAGAAAAAATGGTAAGTCAAAATATTTCTAAAGTTCCTGGTAATTTTCATTTTTTTTTTAATCCTAAAGAGGGTGCTTATCTTCTTAAACTAGAAATAAAGGGTCATCAGGAAAGTCATGATGTGTTTTTGTATAAAAAACAGAAAAATACGTCATGACTTTTCTGACAACCCAATGTTATTTAAAAGCTCCAAGCATAATCCATTGATGATATTCTCAACAAACATGTGAACTATACCATGAATAATAACTGTCAATATTGACATGGAGACCATACCACTATAATGGTTAAGAGCCTTTTCTGTAGTTGAGTCTGTTTCTGACATAGTGGCCTCTACAGATGTGTGTGTGTGTGTGTGTGTGTGTGTGTTTGTCTTTGCTCACAGTGGTCAGCTTCCCCTGGATCCATTCACTATGGAGGATGTTTTGAAAGAGGACAGACACATCTTCCACTAGCTTCAGCGATTGTATTGTCTCTTTGCCCTTCAATATTGGGTAGACCTTGACTCAACCTCCACCAGAGACCTTTGTCTTTTATGGAATCAACAGAATTCAGTCAATTTTTAAATTCCTTCCATCCCTTCCAAAGAACAAAATTATTTAGGATAGAGTGGACGTTATTCCCTTCCTATTCTTAGGCACATAGGGTCTTCTTATATGCCACTAGTGTGAATTAGTCTAGTATTCTTGCTCTTGAGAATCTCTAGATTAAAAGTAAAGATTTGTTGTGTGTTGCCCCCAAATTTAGGTTTCATATTTAATCTACACTAAGAACTTTCTCAATAATTTGCTCCAGCAAAAGCAAGAAGGAGCTATTGGTTTTCATCCTATCAGCTATCCAATGGGGAAACAATATGTTGTTGTCCCTACTTGAAAGATGGAGAACAAGATATTCCTTCTTAAAAGAGTGATTTCTTAGATCCATATGTTATCATATGAAACCAATGCAAACTGTGCTTTTCAACCAACCGTATTCTGAGAGGTCAATAAATAATAATTTTATGCTTTGGATGAATAAATACAATAGATTATTAGTCTTATTTTACTTTTTTGCCTTACAAAGGAACCAAAAAATATGTATTTCAGAAAGAAAAAGTAGTGTATAGAGTGTTTTCTTCAATTTTCATCCTTGAAAATAATCTATTTTGGATTTCCTTTGAAAACAAGTGGACATTTGGCATTTACAGCTTCATAGAATTTTAAAGTTATGTCTCTCTAGCAACAAAGCATGGTACTATATTTCTGAATCATTTTGAAGCAATGTTTTATAATATGTCTGATCCCTATTTGTGCATATCGGTTTTGAGAGAATTTAGATTAGGTCAATCAGAACAGACAAAATAATGACTGCCTTCTGGCTCCCTTTCCAGTGTTCAGACAAAAAAAAAAAATTACATTTTCTCAGAAATTCTAATTTCTTAGGAGGTGAAGGTTATACATGTTTATTTATGGTATATTCATTCCAAAGAGCATTCTCAACAATGCCCTTGCTAGAAAGATGTTAGGTCTGAGAAATGAAGAAGAGCTTGAAATCTCATAAGAAAGCATTTTTAAGCGAGCAATGAAAGAGCTTTCTCTGTTTCAAGGTCATTTCACTGTGGGAGGAAATTGATAGAGTCTAATTAGAGTAGAAATGCTATAAAGTCTGCTCAGTAGAGATGCACTTGCCTAACATCGATAGCAGGAAGGAGTCAGAGGAAGTATATAAAATTTTCTCCTATTGATTTACAGTTTGTATAGCCCAATGAATTAAACGTATGTTAATATTACCTACAATGTCTTATCCTGTTGAGAGAGTAAAATATAAAGGTTGGGAGATTTCTCTTGCTTACTTTCTTAGTATGAATGTAAAAACAAACATGGAATTGTATTTTTAATTCCTTATTAACTGCCTCCACTTAAATTTCATGAAAGTTTGCTCAGAAATTTCTAAGCAAAAGCACAAGTGGCCCTAAAGATGCCTAAGACATGAATCTTTGGCTTGAGGTACTTAAAATTATACTTACAAATAATTATGTCTCAATCTTGCTTTCTTTCTTACCTGAAAAGAAAGAATTCTATTCAAAATGTTTAAATTTAATATATTTCCACTTGACTTCTACATGGAATGATATATTCTTGTTAGTCACATAAATGTACATACACACATACAAACACACACATACAATATATTTCTCTCTTCCACTTTAATCAACTAATAAGAATGAAGAAAATGACTGTAATCTTACTGACTTTGTAGAGTTCTTTTCCTTTTTTAAATTGTTATTTATTTGTTTTATTTATTTACTTTTAATTTGACCAGATAAAGACAGAGAAAGAGAGAAAGGGAAAGTGAGAAAACAAGTAATCAGGTTCTGGTCTTGAACTGTTGTCAGTCATGTGAGAGTCCAGTACCTTAACTGTCATGCCACTTGTCAGCCTCTACAGTCCCTATTTTTTTTTTTTTGAGAGGTTTTTTCTGTAGGGCACGAGTGCTCGCCAGAAAGACAGAAAGAGATAGAGAGATAGAAAGCAAGAAATCGCCCGCCATGGAGGATGGCCACACTGCAATCCCTTCTCCTCCATTCTCCTCTCGGGATCTTGGGCATGCACGCACACATGCCCAGCATGAGTTTAAGCCACCAGGTCTGGGACTCAAACTGCGGTTGGCTACATGGGAGTTCAGTGACATAGCCATTATGCTAACTGCTGGTCTCGCACAGTCCTTTATTAACAGGGCATCTTAAAATGTCTTTGACCTCCCAAAGTCTAACATGCATAATGGTGTATTTCCAAATCTATGCTTGTTAAACTATTTATATTAAGTCTTGGGGGATTTCGCTAATAAACATCCCTTGGTTCTTAGAATATGGATTGAGCTCTCTGCCTTAACCTAGTGATGGCTCATGCAGCACTCACTCATATTTGTCACTCTATTTCATGATCCAGCTCTCTTAAATTGAGTAAGGAGGGAACAGAATTTATGCACAAACTTTAACACACTTTGTCTCTATCCATAAAAGAATATCAGTAGAACTGTTTCTGTGTAGAACCAAGAGGATCGTCCTGGCCCTAGTTACCTTAGTTAATCTGGGGTCATTCAACCTAAATATGAAGCAAGTAATTCTATTGTTGTCTCACCCTGTTCTGCTTTCTTTTTCTTCTTTTTATTTTTATTTCAATTTATTTATTTGCTTTCATTCACTGTACATCAATACAGCATACAAAATGAGATTTTCCATACAGAGTACACTGTATATTGTCTCAATCAAGCACATCAACAAACATGTTATTGTCAGCAAATAATTTTCCATTTCTTATTTTCTGTATGTTTTGCTTTTTTCCCCCATCCTTGATTCCCTATCTCTTACCCTCCGCCATCTCCCACTCTCTTCCCACACTGTCTCTTGTATCTATGTTTGTTTTCTATACTGTTTTCCCCCCACATTTTATTGAATTACTAAAGACCTTAATTAATCTAAATATTTTCATAGCAGACACAGGTGATATATACATTTCCATGAACACAAGTCTAACTTTACACATCCTATAAAATAGCACCTAGCTGAGGTTATATATCTTACTGCAGTCATTGAATAAATTTTTTTTTCCTGGAACTTTTTTTTGGTAACTTAAAAAAATGCCTAAGCATCATCACAGCATACAAAATGTGATTTCCCATCCAGTATATACTGCATAGTGACTTCATCATTCATGTTATAAACAATTTTCCATTTCTAGTTCCTAGAATTATTTTTACCCCTCTTTCTGACCCTCTGTCCTTTCCCACCCTCTCCACATTATCTCTGGAGTCTACAATTGTCCTCCATTCCTTTCCCACCCACATTGTATTGATCACCCGATTTCTTACATAATCTAACTACTTTCAATGGTGAGTTCACTCGTTACTATTAAGAAAACCAGTTTTAACTTAAGTCAAAGAAATGCCAAGGAATTTTGCTTAAAGCCAGGAAACAGGTTAGGATTCTGTTCAAATGGTAG